TATTGCGGTGCTCGATGCGCTGTCGGTCTCCAAACCGGTTGTTCCGGGCTTGGGGAGCCTGTTTACCAGTAGCCCTTGCCAACTGGCTCACGCCAGTTATGGTTATAGCATGAAAAGTCCCTGTGTCCCACGGGTTGGCCCGTAAACTCCAGCTTGTGTCCTGCAGACCAGGAGACTGGCAGTCACTTTGTCGCTGGCCTGGGATGAGCCTGAAGCTGCTTGTTTTTGCCAGGCTCTCCTGTGCTGCTGGGTAAATATCACAGACATTGCATGCTGGAAGTGCTTGAAAACGGGCGGTGATTACACTGTGTGCAGCTTCCAAAGCCTGGAGTGATGCTTGGGCTTTTTCTGCTCTTATATTACACAAAGCATCGAAGGGTCACAGCAACTCAAAATGCTGCACAAGCTGTAATTAGTGTTCATTTCCATCTCCGTCTCAGCCATGCTAACTGTCTTCCTGCTTCCATTGCTAGAAACACATGCTGAAGGAGGGCAAGGGCCGGATGCTGCAGGCCATCAGCCCCAAGCAGAGCCCCAGCAGTAGCCCCACACACGACCGCTCCCCATCTCCCTCCTTCCGCTGGCCCTTTTCAACCAAGACCCCTCCTTCCTCGCCCGCCAACCGCACCAGGAACGTGTCGGCGGTCACCTACGACATCAGCGAGGATGAAGAGGATTAAGCTACCAGCTGGGGTTTGCTGCGAACTGCTAATCGCCGAATCCTAAGTCCGGACCCACTGGAGAACTCTAAATGAGCGAGAGAGCCATAGGAACAGGGCTGACGGTGAGCACAGGGCCTTGGAGGCACCCGCTGGCCTTAGCAAGGGCTGCTGCCTGGAAGCACATTCAAACCTCGCCCTTCTCCTCCCCAAATCCCCTTTTTATTGTTTACGTTCTAGTGGTTTCCAGGGGGAAGATGGTTTTTATATTTTATGAAAATACTCTTTTAAAACGCAAAGAATAGCATTGGAGCGTGACTTTTGTTTCAGTTTCTTTTCCCCTGTTAGACCTGCAGGCAAGAGGGAGAGTGGAAGCCCCATCTGTCTCCTCTTTCCTTCAGCTCCTCTCTCTTATCCCCCCCCATCCCCAGGCAGTATCCGTGCCTCTGCCGAATGAAAGACCCCAACCAGCAGGAAGCGGTGGTGTAAAGAGGCTCCTAGGAAATAGAGACACCTCTGCTGCACTGGAGCCGATAGGAATGGATCCAGCTGAGCCCCTGGTGCTCACACACCTCTTAGCTGAGCTTCCCAGCGTGTGTTGCGGTGAGGACGTGCTGGGGAGGGGGCTCCCCGCTTAGCACGCAAGAGTTACACCCTGGAAGAGCTCACAGCACCGCAGAGTCGCACCGTGTAAGCGCGCAGCATTTGCTGCTTCAAATTATATGGGGGCTGCAAGGAAAAGGCCTTTCCAGCCAAACTTAACAAGGCTGCTAAGTCTTGAGCTAAAATTCAGCCCTCGGTTGCTGTTGCAGAGAAGGGAATGAATCTTGGCTTCGGTGCACTTCGCTGTCTGTGCGTTTTCTCGGGCATGTGAGAGCCCAGGTAGAAAATGAATGTGTGTGCTCCTTCAAGAAGTCCCTTGTCCCGGTCTCTGGTGTGTAAGTGTTACTGTCTGTCCAAACAGCCCCTCGACGCTGTGCTCTGTGTGTGTTCGTCTGTGTTTCAGTTGCTGAGCAGTCCTTGACACTGGTGCCATGAAGTCGCTGCTGTGAGGACAACATGTGAATTTGTGCAGAGTTTTGCTGTCTGTGTTGGTGTGTGCAGCTGGACTGGTGAATGGCACAGCTCACCCCAGTGCAGGGCCCTGCCCCCGTGTGACACTTGTCTGCCTTGTGCAAGAAATGCACAAATGAGCGCCTGCTCACTCCGCTCCTGGAGGCAGGCGAGAAAGAGCGCTGCGGCTTTTTAAGGTTTTAAATACGTAATCTGCTCATTTGAAAGCGTGGTCCAAGTCGTGCCTGCTGTCGTGTCTGTCACAAACACTGAGCTCTGTGGCCTGCGGCTCCCAACGGGCAGTTGCCCTCCCCATGCAGGTTGGTGCTCTCTGTCCCAGCGGCCAGCGCTGGAGGGACCAGACTCGCTGTCGTGTAGCTGTGAAGTTGCTTCTCAGGTCGGGTTTGCCTGTGATAGCCGTTGTCTCTGGGTGGAGCTGCTGGACTGAGCTGCCTGCATCCTCCTGCCACGCTGGGAGGTGCTGGGAGCGGGAGCAAGGAGGCGAATCGCCAAGTGCTGCCGTGCGATGCATCCAGGGGACACAGTGACCCTGTGGTAGGAGCAGGCTGCTGCTCCTTTCCAGCTTTTATCTTGCTGATGCTTTGTCACACTGCCCAAAGGGTTTGACAGAGACTCTGTGCTTCTGCTGAGGCCAGAGCTGCTATGGGAAAGGGTATTTTGGGAATTCCTCATCTGCCACTTGGTCCTCTCTCAGCAGGGTCGTGCACGGCTCTGGGAGCGTGGCTGGCTGCTAGGGATTTGAAGCTGTAAGGAGCAAATAATCGTCATTTGGTGCAACCCAGTCGTTAATGCCCTGGTTTAGGAGTGGTAGAGCGCTTACTTTATATCACCTATGTTCTCTCTTCCCTCATCCCCCCCCACCTTCCCTTCCTCACCCTTCCCTTGGTATGGATGTTGTGTTGCTTTTTGGAGCCAGATCACAAAGGCCAGACTGCTTTAGAGCCTTACTCTCCTGTTTTAAACACAAGTTGCGCAACAGTGTTCTGTAAATTTGGATAACAGTGGTGTTTTGGATGGTGGTTTGTTCTGCAGAGACCTTAATGTGTTTCTTGGTCTCTCTGCAAAAACTCGGGTGCTCAGTAAGAAGCCAGCCATGGTTTTACATGTAGCTTGGAATAGCAGAGCTGTTTCTTGTAACCAATAATCCCTGCTTCCTCCTTGCACTTAAATTAAATTGGACACTTGAATCCCAGACGAGTCTTTTTTTTTTCCCCTTTGTTTCTTTGTTTCCACCTGGATTGCTGGACCAAGCCTCTTCTCCAGGACTGCCTTGTCCTATCGGGAACAGGACAAAGCGTGATCTTTGGGCAAAACGTGAGTCAGGTTCTCCAGAAATATCTTGGTACCTGCGGATATACCCAGTGCTGCTGCTTCAGGGCTGTCCTGCACACCCCTAACCCATCCCGTGTGCTTCAGAAGAAGCATCTGGAAGAGACGGGCTTGAATTAAGCATGAAGGAAGAGGTAGAATGGAAAAATAAAACTGGGAGGATTTTCTGAAGGCAAAGAACAGCAGCAGCAGGGCAGAGATGAAAGGTGCCAACGGTGCTGGTAGAAACAGGACATGAAGAGCGTGGCACTTCACAGCACATTGCTTAGATCCGCAGCAGAAGTTTCCTCTCAAGAAAATTACAGCACATGCCTGCGTGATTCTGTGCATGTTATATAGAGTTGGCATTTTTATTGTGCAGTCCAGTTCTGGTAACAGAGGCAGGTGATGGAGCAGTGAATACACTTGGCAGTAGTAGTGACTTTGGTGGGACACACCGTACCCCTCGCCCCCCTGCCCTTGGGGCAGGCTCCTCGCTGCCAAAGGCTGCCCCGTGTCAAGGTGTTCCCTTCCTGCTGCAGGTAAGAGCTGGGTCTGGTTGACGGGGGGCGGATGGGTCCCATATTTTGCTCGTTGCCTGGGTCTTTTTGGCAAAACCATGAGATTGCCGGGTCCCGGTGCTTCTGCTGGTGCCTGGAAAGCAGCGTTAGTAATGGCTGCATCTGCCAAATTTGGCAATCTCATAACGAACCACCAGTGCATCTTCCGGCTGAACGGTTTCACTTTGAACACGGCCACGTGCAGACAGCTCCGAGTCACTTTTTCCCCCTACTTATGGGGCAGAAAACTTGCTTTTCCTCCAAAATGAATGAATTTCATAAATAGAAGTTGGGAGCTTTGCTTTCTGGCTCTTTGCTTTCCCAACGTGTCACCGTGGCCAGAGGTGTTACAGTGGGAGGCCACCAGGGTGCAGATCAGAGGAAGCTTTGGTGGTGATGATCTGGTGTCTGCTGCCCATTTTTGGCCGCAGCATCACCCGGTCCTGTCGTCACCTGCAGCAGCGGCTGCTTCAAGCTACCTCTTCCCGGTCAGTGTTTGCTGTGCTGGTTTCTCTGTATGAGCCTGTGTGCACACCGTGTGTCTTTACTGGTTTGTTCTTCAGTTGGGTTTTTGGCTTTTGTGTCTAGCCAAATAAATGCAAACTCATTTTTTACTCAGTGTTTTCCCCGATCCCTTCTGCCATCCAGGCACCGTGGTCCCCTCTCCTGCCATCTTAGCAGTGGTTTGAGCAAGAAGTTGCTTCAGTGGGGTTCAAAAGATGACCCAGTGGTTTCTGCAAGTCAGCATCGCTCCTGGTGTCTGTCCCCACATCTTGTAGGTGTAGAGCAGATTCTGGGCAGGACCAGTGAAGGCAGCATTAACCAACTGCCTGTGTTATGAAGGTGCTTTCAGGCTCCTTCCTTTGCCTGGCCACAGGCTGGCAAGTGTGGATGCTCCTGCCGTGCTCTTGGGAGCAGCTGCTCCTGTGGAGGATGTGCCCCAGGGATGGACCAGACCCATCTAGAGCTTTTGGGACAAAATGCTGCTGCCCTGGCATTTCCTTGGTCATCAGACCCCAGGGGTCAGCGTCACCCCCGGGTGCTGGGCACCCCCTGACAGCCCCATGCAAGGGCTGTGCTGGGCTGGGCTCTCTTCCTCCCCTTGTGTGGAGTCATCTCCCACTGAGCCTAGGCAGGAGAGGATTCAAGCCCAGTCACCAGCACCAGACTCAGGTACAAATTTATCTTTATTCAGTGCCAGACAAGAACCACCCCCAGGCTGGAGGCAGCTTCATAGATCCCTTGGGCCTGTGGCCTTTGGGTTGCAAACCCTTTCACCCCACACTGAGATGCCCTTTTCTCCTCTGCTGCCACCAGCTCCCCAGGGCTGGAAGAGGAGGAGGAGGAGACGCCTGTCCAGGACAGACCAGCCCCTTGGTGCCCTGTAGCTCTCTCCTGTTCACACCTTGGTATCGGTGCTCACGGGTGCAAAGTTGACGGGCTGGTAGCCTGGTTTGTCATCCTGCTTGCGGTAATACATGCGGGTCACCACCGCCAAGATGAAGGTTTGTGGGATTAGCAGCTGGATGTTCATCTCTGGAAGAGGAGAAGGCTCAGCCGAAGCTGCCTTCACTGGCCATGCCCATTCTCTGTGCAATGGAGGGGCGCAGCCGCACCCCCATCTCTCAACTTACGCTGTGACCTGGCTTTGGAGGAGAAGGGCGGCGAGCAGGCGATGTTGCCATTGTTGGCCAAGATGCTAAAGATGGCGGGCTGCAGTGCCGTCAGGAGGAGGAGGATCTGCGACCACCAACACCCGAGATGGTGGGGACAATATGGCCACCGGGCTTCTGCCCTTCCTCCCCACTCTCTCACAGCCAGACCCCCACCAGTGGTTCCTGCCCCTCCATTTCAACCCATTTGTGCAAGAAAAGCCCCTTGTCCGGGGGGTGCTGGGCAGGATGGGGGCTCACCTGGAAACAAGAGAACTTGGCCTTGATGTTCTGCTCCGTCAGGTGGAGCCGGGCCTGCCGGAAGAGGATGCCCAGGGCCCACAGCCCAAAAAGGGTGGAGGCGCCAACCACAGTGTTGATCCAGAGGGCCACGCTCTCCGCCGATATCTGGGGTACACACAGATAGTGTACGTGGGCCAGTGGATGCTCCCCATCCAGGACATCGCCCTGCCTGTTCCCGTGCCCCCGCACTCACATCAGCGGGGTTGTAGTTGCCATCAGTGGCCAGGACCAGCCCCAGGAAGACGGCAACCGCCCTGCAGAAGGCGTACTGGAAAGTCCCCAGCATCATCAACTGAAGCTTTCTCCTGACACAGAAAGAGACTGGTGACACCCTAAGGTCCCCAAGGCCCTGCCCAGGAACTTCTCTTCCACCCCAGCAGAAGCAGGGGGTTACCCCAGCTCTCCCTCACTTGCTCATGGTCATTCGGGGCAGGCAGGGGCAGCAGCAGCAGCAGGGGCCGGTGCTGACCACCATGGGCACATCCTTCAGGGTGCTGAGCACCGCCTCCTTCCCACCAAAGCCCTCCACCATGACCAGCATCAGGAGGTAGAAGCAGACGGCAAAGTACCTGGAGGTGAGGAGGAGGAAGGCAGGTCAGGCCCCGTGGGCTCCCTGGTGGCCCTGCCCCAGGGAAGGCGATACTCACGCTGTGGTGGCCATCTCCACCACCATCATGGAGCGTGGGATCCACAGCCCGAAGCAGCTGACCACAGACACAACCTGGGGGAGATGCACA